CTGAAAGATCACCAGTTAATGGTGCCTCAAATTAAAGTCCACATCAGAGCTTCTCTGAGTTCAAGAAGCAGACACATCCGGACATAAACGAATAAGGTCGTCACGGTTGAATTGCTTCAAAGAAACACTGCTGGGGGAGACAATGGGAGAATGGGAACGCCAAGAAGCTCTGTGAATGGCTAATAAACCAGTGAAAATCAAGACTTTGGTCTAATGAGTCCAGAGAATGTCAAGTATGTGCAATAGGTGGCGCCTCTGATGAAGCTTAAAAAGCAGCGCATAACTGCATATGTTTTTATGTATTCACTAGTGAGATGTCTTCACGGTTTTAGATAAAGGAAAAGTTTTTTGGAGTTTGGTGCATGTGCCCAGAATGAATAGCTCCTGTGTGAGCATGCCGCAGTGTCAACGTGAGTGAAAAGATGAAGTTTAGCCTTGTTTTTCCCCTGTTTGTCTGCCTGTCTTTTGAGAGATGAAAGAGCCATGATTAGGTCATGAATACTTTATCAAAGCGCTAAAAGTGCACATGCACTCACGGAACACACAGACGTGCAGCCTTTGATTGGGTCTGGTGGCCTTTGTAGTTTTTCACAGAGTGACAGTAATTGAACCAATTCCACCAACATTAAAGACGTAAACCTTTCAGACCCAACTTTCTCTTTTCTTTTTAATAGGCATGATAGGACGAAAAAAATAAAATAAAATAACACACCCAATGCTTCAGTTTAAGATGATAGTGTCACTCTGTCACCTTCTCAAATGCCCATTTACACTTACAACATGGATGGGTCACCTGGAAAATGGTTCCAAAATGTCTCAGATCCTTTCTGATTGCCCACCCCCACTATCCTGCAGCTGACTGGGTTTTACTGTGAGCAGTCAGCAGAGCAGAGCCACCTCAGTGTTTCCCTCATATTATTTTTAGGAGAGCTTCAGGCCATTTTTGCTGTTAATCACAGGTTTGACTTTCAAAGATTAATTTTTGGAATTAAAAACATAAATCTAACTCAAAGTATTCAAACTGAATCAAGTTATTCTCTGCTGTGTAGCATCTTTGTTGTTTACATATTGATTACCTTTATAAAGTGGAGCTGCAGCGTGAGTCCAACATTCAGAAATGCGCTTTGTTTTTACTTTACTTCCTACAGAGTATGACATCTCTGATCTTATTTTTCATTTTCCACATCACCGGCTGCTCGTCATACTATTTCTTCAGTCGTCTGTCTTTGTTCCTCTATCTCACATTTATCATTTCATAAGTTTCATCCAAACTTATCAGCAGGAACATTGTATGTGACAGGCAGAAAATAAATGAGTGAACAAATGAATGAAAACCCACACTGACGTTCTCTCGACTGTTTTAAGACTCGAACAGACTAAATGTGCACATTGCTATAATTGAAAATTCCCCACAGTGCGTGTGACAATATCTGAATAGTGTATGGCCTGTAATCACCACTAAGACCGTGTAATTATTTGCTACAGTTCTTCTCATTTCATTATGTGGAGTTCAATTCATTCACACAAAAAGATGGATGGAAGGCAGCGTGGAAAAGGCTGAAATATCTCCCCTGAAACGGTTCCTCATCACTAACACTTCTCCACGGTGTCACCTTATATGAGGCCCCACTCACTGTTGTGGAGGGCTCTCATTATTAGCGGGGAGGATATAAATAAACAGGTAAACTGTGGGAGGCTCTCACCATCTCTCAGCATACGAGGGGAACAGCTGTCACCATGGTTACTGATGGAAGATTTGTCCACCTACCTTTGGAGTGGTATTATAGGCTAGTCCTCTGCCATTGTATAGCGTGTACGAGGCAGAGAGGATTTTTCTGAGTGCACACAGTTTTAAGCAGATTTGTCGTGTTTGAAAAGTTTGAAAAATATGGAGCTCACAAAAGCGTTTGAAGCTTTGATCTCTGCTGGTCAGACTTTCTGGTGTTGGGTCGAGAAAATGAGCTGGTCTCTAAACACTGTCAAATGACAAACATTTTGAGCCAGAATTGAGTGTTGTCCCTGTGTTGAACATGTTCATTGCCTCTGGGAAAATTCTTCTTTTTACTAAAGTCTCAGGCTTTGAAGAGGACGTTAGGGCTGTGGCTGTCTCACAATATTTATTTGAAATGGCAGAGTGCAGATTTTAGAGACAAATGAGTCAAACTTTGTCCAAACAGTTTGCAGCAATATGTTCAGCTCCTCTATGCAGCTGCCTGATGTTAAAAAACCTTTAATAGTTAATGCCCACAGAGCCAGAGATGGTTTATCACACTGAATTGGCATTTAGCTATTTTAATTTATAGCCACAGTCACTCTTTGGTGTAAAAAATGCTAAAGAATAACATACCCCTCCAGATGTTAACAGCAGATGTTAACAGAGGTGGAGCTAACATTGTTTTCACATTTCAGCCCGTGGCATACGGATCAATTGATTGAAAAAAAAAAAAGGCTTTCAAATAAATACCAGACATTTCCAGGAACGTACAATTCCCCATGCTTAGGAAAAAGATGTTTAAGATGCAGAAAGCATGGCTTATTCAGAATGATCCTCAACTTACTCAAAAGGTACAAAGGTTTTTCATGGCCTTCTTATTTCTGTGGAAAACCCTTCAGCTTCACAGACATAAAAGCTGACTAGAAGTCTTTTGCAGTAAAAATCAAATAAAAAAATCCAAAACACCTTGTCTGCTGTAAAAAGCAGTCAAGCTTTGATACTAAATTCCTGAACATGTAGAGATGATAAGCAGCAGTTTGAAGCATGTTCTTCTTTTTTCCCTTTGAAATGATAAAAGAAAGTGATTTAATTTAAAACAATCAATAATTCTCTTTGTGCCATTTGAGCTTGGTCATTAAGATAGAGCTATTTTGACACACACACACAAAAACATGTTCAATTTAATATAATTAAAGATGCAGAAGACCTGTAAAGGGTTCAAATCCCATTATTTTTAACTTATTTTAGATCAATTAATTAATAAACTCTTCCAAAGTTTGTTGATGGGGGGAAAAAAATGATATCCTGTTAATACTAGTTTGAACAGTTTAGTTTCAGTTTTGCAGCTGCCTACTGTAGCAGACTTTGTGTACATCAAAGTGTACACAATCATTTTTTTAAAGTCTAGTGATTCGAGCCCCAGTGGAACAGATTCTTTGAGTTCCTGCTTCTGGAGATAATAAGAAACAGGGAGAAATTCGGGAAAAGAGGCTCTTGGAGGCAGATGAAGTCGATACTTTTTGTACACTAGGTCTGCACAGGGGTGTGTGTGAATATTTGGCTCCGCCTGGGATGCAAAACATGTCAATCCCCCAGATTTAGAGATGTGGATGTTCTGCTGAATTGATTATTGTCACCTTAGAGAGAGCTTGTGTGTTTGAATTTGAAAGAAACACAAAGGGATATGTACTGTGCCCAGTGCTTTACTTCTGTTGTGTGAATGTTATTTTTGTATTCATTATAAGGTAAAGGAACAAAAACCCTTTTTCTTAGGGGTGACAAACATTCGCTGTAAACACATTTGATGAAAAAGATGACTGTAGTTGTCATCTCTGAATGGATGTTTAGTGTAGTTGAGCACATCTACACACACACACACACACACACACACACACACACACACACA